CACAAGATAATAAATTTGGATTAAATATATACCATATAAATTGAACATTTTAAACAGTGCACGGTTAGGAAGAATTTCAACAACGTTTGGGTATAAACAACTCCTGGATGTGCGTGTCGCTCGTCACCTCTGCGAGCTCGCTAGGTTGTGAAGCTATCCTTACAACTGTGCGAAAGTAGAGCGAACGTTGTCATGGATTCCCCAAGATGCCACCCTGCCTCAGAGAACCTCTACATCTTTACACAATAGTCAACTTAAGAACTCTCTTGGGGTTTCCTGAAAGGTTGAAATGACAAACGATCTGTGTAGAATGAAGAGCAGGGTTGATTGTATCTGCAATTTGTGTATCTGGTGATTAATCATGGGTCGACGTCAGCAAAGCCAGGATCAGATGATTCTATACTCCCAAGAGAATTCGCTCCATTTTCACCTTCACGATCAAAGTTGTCCTTTCTTAAAAAATACGTTTCCAGTCAAATAACAAAGTCGGATAATGTTTATAGGAATGCATGTTTACCATAAGCTGATAACGAATAGAGCACTGTTTGTTTACCATAAATGTGTTGCTTTGTGATGTTGCAATTAGCTAGTGAAGCAAGGTGAAATCAATTTGACATATATTGGGATTCTTATGAGCTGGTAATATACGATGGTGTGATGTTGTGACATAACCCACAACCTGCCATCACCATACCCGTTAGATCTAACCAATTAACTGATTGGTAATCATTAGGGCCAACTGATTTACGCAGAAAACCTTGACACATTCGAAGTGAAATAATTTACAATTCTGCAATGGGGTGTCTATGAATACATTATATGGTATAGTAATGCTCCATCCGTTGTTTCCGTTCCTATCTCGTTCATATCGCTAGACGCTGTTCATGTTAATTTTCTTACAGTTGATTGTAACAAAGGAAAAAAGAAAACTATTGTGATTTGAAATTTGTTATGTAGTACCAAGTAGAACTACTAATACAATATACACGTATTTATTTCTCCACAATAGTCTAATTAATTTAAATCTATATTATGTATTTGTATGATTATTCTAGTTTCCTTATGAATCGAGTTGAGCCATGTATGCGGACAATAACAAACCAGTGGCAATAAAGTCGATCTTATTCCTCAATATTTGTTTTTAAATCTTAGCACAGTCACTTCCTATACCACATTCAATACTAGTCATTTAAAAAATCTAAAATGCCATTATTTTCAAATTTTATTGGGTACACATCACCTTGTCATATTGCTGGTCACACGACGCAGCGAAGATTTTTCAATTAACAAAATACACACAATTAAATTAAACCATGTTATAATGATATTGTTAATAAAAACAATCCAATGTGTTCTCAGCAATACAGACGACCCTACATACACCTATATCGTATCGCACGTATGTGTCTTGTTCATCTTGTTACTGTTGAACAGTTGTCACGTTAAGTACGCTGAAGGTATTTCTATGAAAAAACCCTTCTAAAAACATGATGTTAAAAAGTTTTGCATGAAACAATCTAATACGTGCCAGTTCTTTAAAAGATTCCGGCTTAATTGCATGTCAATGCAATTTATTGTTTACTTCACTTAAAAATTGGTATAAGTTTTCTACAGCGATAAAATAAATGTCCCTTTTGTTTTGATTTTAGCAATGTAAACGAAGACATAAACATTCTTGGCTTTCTCGTAGCTTGAATCATATACCTTTCCTATGTATATCTCTTTTACCAAATTTGGCTTAGTTATACAAACACCTAGCAAGATTTTACAAACATTAAGATGGAGAGTTTCGATGTCATTAGCTTTGCGTAAACACTAAAGTTCTGACGATATATAACTAGCATCGCCGACATGTTTATCAAACACAGGGTATTGTGCTCAATGTAAAGGTTATAGGTTTCTTACATATTGTGTTTTTTTCATTAATACCCCGCCTCCCCCCCCC